GCCTCACACTTTTTATTTAACCCTAAGCTGAGTGCTTTGCTTCCTAAAGCCCCAAATGACCGAGCCCATAAATGAGACTAATGCTGGGGAATCTGGTAAACAGGCCAGAGAGAGGGAGGGAGAGCTGCCTTCCTGTCTGCCTACTCCATGGCTACTATTGTGCACTGCACATTCTCTGAGCCCACAAGAGCTGAAGCCATCTCCACACAGATTCTTTGGAGGGATAGTAAGCCAAGAAGTGAGAGAGGAAGAGGGAACAAGGAGGGGGAAGAGAGAGAGATGGAGAGGGAGGGAGGGAGGAGGAAGAAGATCATGCATAAAATCTTGTTTGCAGAATGCATTAAGATTCAGATGAACTGGGGAGGGTAATGGGATTAGAATCCTGAACCGTTTCCAAGGGTGGGGAGTCGGATTGACAGCTGAGTCTATTGCACTGACGATTGCAGTGAAATATTGTGGCTCTGGCAAAGGCAGCCAGCCAGCCAGCCAGGGGGTTGCTGAGCCTATAGCACCTCTAATTATCCCGAGCTTTACCAAAAATAATGCCGCCAAGGGGAAAAAACATATTTGTCATTACCCCGTGCATTTAGCTTGGGCTTTAAGTGAATATTGGAAAGGCAGAAAGAAAGACTTCAGTCCGTCTCACAAAGGTGTTTGGCAAACAAAACAGAAGCACTGTGGCTTTAAATCACCGTCCCTCCCACCCTTTCTAAATATCGTCTATTTAGCCAGCGGTGAAAAGATATAGGGGGCTTTTGTCTGCGTACCCATCGGTGGGGGCATGGAGAGCTAGAAAGACACAAAAATAGGAACAAAGTGCTAAGCTTCCAATTGGGATGGCTGTGGGCCATTCAATGCGCGCAGCTCAGTGGGTAAAAACAAGAAGAAGTGGGCTACTATTACGGGCTTGTCTGAAAATAGGCTGCTCTCACACACAGCTATAGGGTAGACTGGTGTGGAAATACCCTGCATTGTTTATAATAGACGAGACTAAGGGAGGCAAACACGAGCCCTTTAAAAGTCTGGCATGGCTCCAATGGAAAAGGCAAACAGTGCTAGTTGGGTGTTTTGTTGGTTATATGCTGTTTTCCTGCGTTACTCTAACGCTATGGTCCACTCACCGACTTGCAATACGTTGTCCACCCAGCCACCCTCCAACAGAGTGACACCCCGTAGGAAAGGCAGCTGGGTCTCGTCATTATTGTCCCCGCTAGTTCCACTTTCCTCTCCTCCAGCGTTGAAAGAGGAATACATACAGATTTCCTTCTCGCTTCTCGGGAAAGACCAATATACGATCCTCCGCTGGACGGGCTCCGGGATCCTTTCGAACCGCTCCTCCACCCTCTGGAACGGCCACTTCTCCGCGACTCTGCGAGCCGCGATATCGAGCAACGACTCGGGGTTGTGCGTTTTCCCATTTCCCGACCCTCCCGGAGCGGACCCCGCGCCGCCACACAGGACACCTCCAGCCCGCTGCCCCTGCCTGCACGCCGGGTTGTAGCCGGGCCGGCAGCAGAGCCTCTTGGCTGGGGGCTGCTGGACTCGCTCGGCCATGTTCGCACCGCTTCCAACCTGAAGCGCAGTTCCTCTCCGATCATATAAACGGGATAAGGAAGAGAAAAGGGCAATCTCGCACCGATTGTTTGCCGTACATGGAGAGACTGCCCTTATTTGGAAAAGTGGGCGGAGCTTGTGAGTTCCGTGAAGTCCTTTGTGTTGTCAAAGTAACCGGATGGGCGGGATCCTGGAGAGCTGCCAGCGCACGAGTGGCGCTATAAAAGGAACTGGAGGCGGAATTCCCGAACGTCGGCAAATCCTTTGTGAAGCTTTTCGGGAGCGCGAGGGTGGAGCCCCGGCGGCCGACGGCCTTTGAAGTTTCCTTCTTATTTGAGTTTAAAGGCGGGGACTTAATCCAGGGGCGGCCTCGCAGTTTCCCACAGGGGTAAAAGGGGGCAAGAAAACTGACTTTTTTTTTTTCCTTTGGAGCCTCAGCTACCACCCCGGGCTCCAGCTTCTTCAATAACAACTTGATCGTTGTTTTTGCGGCTTTTTAGTCCAAAAGTGGTTTCAGCTGTCAGGCCGCAGAGGGTAAGAACATATGAAGGTGGACATGCCTGTCCTCTGTAGTCACATCAGCTCTTATATGGTGCAGCCAATTGACAAGTAATCATATGCACTCATGAAAGACAAGCTTTTTGCCTATATTATTTATTTTAAGGGGCTATTCTATTGATTTTTTACTTGGAGATCAGTATAATTGTTGCTTGGATACATAAAGTCTGAGAAAATAAGTCCAAAAGTTTGGTTGCGGTAACTTAAGATACTACCAGGTATACGGGTCAATGATGCTATCAAGGTAGTGTTTTTTAGAGTTCTAGTTCGAAGTAGAAGTTTTATCCTGGGCACCGATGTAGTGGTAATTTGGGGCTTTTAACAATTTCTTTGAACTTTTCTTTTTTCCAGGGTGGAATGATTGCACTGCATGAATCTTTGAAGACTTCAAAACGACAAAAATTGTTTGCTCAAGTTTCAGTTTGTTTTGGGTTTTCTCTAATCCACACAGGGTCAAAGTAAACATACAGGTTCAAATATATTCATACACTCACATCAATATTTTAACAAGTGGTTCTGAAGGTTCTACAGTGCCTTTTAACTTGACGATTCCAAGCCCTATTGACTTTCTTTGTCTGCATCAAAAGGATTTGTTTGACACAGCAGTACTCAAAACTATAGGAAAGTCTAAGGTCCTCAGTGAAGATCTAATTTAAACAAGTTGGGAAGGTCTCATAGGGGAATTTCTAAACAACTGCAGATAATCCAATGATGATCCAAGATCATCAATTCCAACAACTGTACATAAGCACAAATTATTCAGACATGTCAACACTTTGTCGAGGACTGGAAAGACCCAAACCGCCACCCTCAGATGGCAGGAAATTTGTTAGGATGTTCAGAAACAACCCAGGAACCATCCGAGGCTCAACCCTGCCATGAACTGGAAACTGCTGGAATACCAGCATCACTGCCCAAAGTGAAGCCAGTTTTACATCACCATGGACCATGAATGCACTGACAAAGAAAGAACTCCCTGTTCCAAAATCTATAGACTGAAATTTGCAGCTGCCTACATGAAAAAGCAAGATACCTTCCGAAGAAAAGTTTGATGGTCAGAATAAATAAAGATTGAGCAATTAGGCCACAATTACAAAAGGTAGGTTTGGCAGAGTAAAGGTGAAGCTTTCAAACCTATTCACTCTCCCAAGCATGGTGGTGGTAGCATCATGTTCTGGGGATGCTGAAGGTGACACTAGTACATTGCACAAAGTGGAGTAGAGTAATTAAGGAGTGCAACTTCCAAATTCTTGAAATTCACCTCAAATCACCAGCTGGACAGTTAAAACTTGCATAGAATTGGGTGTTCCAACAGGACAATGATCCCAAATAAATCAAAACTGGTTTTGGAGTAGATAAATCAAACTCTGGAATGGCCTCTACAAATTCTTCCAAGAAGAGTTGTGAGATATCCATAAAGAATTATACCAGAAGCTTGTTAACAGCTACCAGAAACATCTGTGGAAGGCGTTGAGGGGCATTTCACAAAATGTTAATGGCATTAATCCATTATGGGGTTTGGCCCTGTGTGGATTAGTAACAATTCTAAATAATTTCAAACTTATGCACTCAGTTCTTGTTTTTTATTCCACCCTGGGGAAAAAAGTACAGTCCAAAGAAATCATTGAAAGCCTCACATTACCAAGACAGCACCGGCCACAACTGTAGTTCTAGATAGCTATAGGTATAACTTTTAGGCTTTTGTGTGTTTTTTTTAAAGTTCTCATAGCCATCACGTTATCTTCTTTTTACTCTTTCCTGTATTTCAGTCTATCATTCTGGCAAACAAAAAAAGGAAAAGAAATGCTAGAAAATTCTCATAGGAGAGCCAGACCTAGTGTGTTTCTTTCTTGAAACACTTATGACACATGGATTAGTGTAGCCAGTTAACCACAAACTGTGGTACACTCATTTTTACTGGCCCCCACCCTGTCTGTTGATAATGCTAGTTCCATGTCTGTGTGTCATGAAAGGGGCCCCCCAATTTTATAGGGGTAGAATACTCATCAGGGGTTAGGGTGTGGCTGCTGTTGCCCCCTGGTTTTTCCTGTATGATGAGCCACTACAGAAGTTAATTGTTATAAGCAAGTAACAAAGAAAAGCTGCCAGGTTGGGGTATGTTTTTCTAAATTGTCTATAAAAGTTGGCTCAAAACTACACTGGTATACCAGAATGTGTGTTTGCAATGTGTCTGCCTGCCGCATGTGTTCCCAGCTGCCCCTCTCATTGCTCTGTGAGTAAGTCTAAAAGGCTGGCCTTTGAACTGCTCTGAAAGTGATCCATGCCGTATGGACGGAGCAGATGTGGCCTAACCTGATTTGGTTTCAATACTTCCCCACAGGAAGTTCACAAAGCCAGCAGGTCCTCCTTTGTTATGTTAGTCATCTTTCTCAGAGGGCCAATGAAGCCTTTTTATTTTATTTTATTTTAACACAGTTATCATTTGCTTTATTCTCCAGACAGAACAGCTCCACACACAATCAGACGATTTTTCAGTTTATATATATATATATATATAAATATATAAAAATTGTTCTATATGTCTTTATTGCATAGTCTGCTGCGTTTCCGTGTTTCTTTTGAGCAATTTGATACTGATGGACATAACAGGCAACCTCCAACTAGAGTATAAATAAGGTAATCTAAACTAAATGTTCCTTAATTTTCTTGAGAGCAACTGGCAAATAAATGTATTAAATATATTTAGATTTTAGAGTCATTCCTATAGCTTGATGGTACAGAGGACTACATATCCCAATAACCAAGGAATCTCGTCATGTCCAACCACAAGCGAGAACTCATGGTGCATTCAAATAATACTGATTAAGTGTAATTTCGAAAACTTCTAGCGGGGAAACAGAAAAAATTACAAATTTCAGACAATTTCATACCCTTTTAAGTAAAGATAAAAAAAAACATATTAAGCTGGAATTACAATTACGTTCTGAATTATATTTGAACGATTTGGCTTGTTCTACATAAGTTATACCGGTGCATTTTTGGTATTGACGGTCTGCAAATGCAACACAGAAGGGTATTTATCTTATCTATATTTAGATATTTATTTATATTTGGCATCTAATATTAGTGAAAGTGTTACACATTTAGAATAATTCATGAATACAAACAAAAACCAATGTTTTTTTCTTATTTTTACATTTTGCCGATATCACCTGAATGCCTCATTGCCACACCAGTTCCACTTCCCGGAACAAGGAGGAGCTGGGTAGTTTATCGCGGATACAAACACAAATCTCCGTTCCTTTTGGTAAGTTGGTGTATTTTATGCCACTCTGAGTTTTATCAGGACTAACTGTTTTGAAAACATAAATTAGGCGGTTTGTTGCGTTCATTTAGACGGTCGTTTTACTGTTTAACCGAGAGTAAGTGCTCTTGTATCGAAAAGTCAGGCCTTAATGCACGGGTGGGCTAGCTAGCGGCAGTAGAAATGAAACTAAATGTTTCATCTGCGTCTAAGAAATGCATATCTGTTCCTATATGCATACACATTAAAATCGCTCGCATAACTTGATGTCTTAAGGTTGTAGCTAGAGACTGTGGTTAGTTGGTTAGCTAGTTAGTTAGTCGTTGGTCATTAGCTGCTTGTGTGCCGCTGGTCGGAGCGCTTTACAAATGACTCCTGTTGAATGGCGCCCTAAATCTTTTCACTGTCGTAGGGACGATACACGAAAACTGTGGGAACGGAAGTCTTTGGGGGTAACTTCAGTTATCTAACAGATCATCTAAGTCCATTTGACGTTTTTAACTGTAATCAAACATAAAAAAAAAAAGACTTCGCTATACTTCCTTGCTCTGAATGATCCTTTGGGGCTAACTACAGCCCAGCTGGTCCGTGTACAATGAAAGAAGTGCGCCTCTGTTGTCCTCTTATTCATGGCACTTGGACAAAGTTAGTGACTGTGTTTGGGTAAAAGGACCGCAGTTAAACTAATAATAATGTTGTCATTGCACATGTACAACGAAATCGGGTGCAGTGCAAAGGTCTGGGGAAAAAAAGGCTTGAAAGTATTCCCATTGTAATTATTTATATAAAAAAAAGTCCATAAATACACACAGAAATTTCTAAAAGTAATCATAAAAAAGAAGGTAAAACACACATATCACACATGCAAAACAATTATCTTGCAAGGTTCGGTTTCAGCAGTGTTTAGTGCTGTTGTAGCTTTTGGGTAAGAGCTTTTTTCTACATGTTTGTTCTTGTTTTAAATGTACTTAAACATCTGAGGACAGCAGTTCAACAGTGTCCAGATGGATCTTTCAGATGTTTTGGCAATATTATGTTAAACAAATGTGTAAGTGAGGTGTTCTTCCACCAAGATCGGACATGCTTGTGAGGATCAGCGACTTTATGGTCCATGAGACTGTATGGTTCCAGTTTGATCTGATATCAAGCTTAGGATTGCTAAAGTAACAGAATTAGACTTTCCTCCTTATCAGTGTGTTAGAAATATTTAATTCTAGAACTTGCATTTGTCTCACCAGCATTGGATCTCTTTATTTCTGTTTAAATGTCTTTACTTAACTCATTAATGTCTTGCTTTCGTATCCGGTAAGACTTATCACTCCCTGCAAATATGTGTGGTGTGTACACATCCTCTGGGAGCCTGCAGGTGGATGCTGGGAGGTTGTGTTTGGTATATGACAGGAGAGTGAGACATGTTTTTGTGTTATAATGCAGTTGCTGCTTGAACACCTCCCAGGTTTCTCTCCATTTATTCAGTTCTAGATTTTTTTTTCTTGCTACAATTTTAAAAAGTACCTCACATTGTTAGGTGATATACACTGATCAGACATAACATTATGACCACCTAATATTGTGTTGAGCACCCTTTTGTTGCCAAAACAGTCCTGACCTGTTGAGACCCCTGTGCTGTGGTATCTGGCATTAAGATGTTAACAACAGATCTTTTAGGTCCCGTAAATTGCGAGGTGGGGCATGGATTGGACTTGTTTGTCCAGCACATCCAACAGATGGTCGATTGGACTGAGATCTGGAGAATCCACAGGCCAAGTCAACACCTCAAATTCGTTGGTGTGCTCCTCATTACATTTTTCAAGCAGCATTTTTGCTTTGTGGCACTGCACATTAGATTAGATAGAACTTTATTAATCCCTCTTTCATTATCCTGCTGAAAGAGGCCACAGCTGTCAGAGAATAACATTACCATGAAATAGTGTGCATGGTCTGCAACAATGCTTAGGTAGGTGCCAAAGTAACATCCACCCAATGTTTCCCAGCAGAACATTCCCGACCACTGGTTCACCACCGTTCCTTCCTTGAACCACTTTTGATAGATACTGACCAATGCAGACCAGGAACTCCTCACAAGAGCTGCAGTTTTGGAGATGAACTGACCCGGTCGTCTAGCTGTCACAGTTTGGCCCTTGGAAAAAGAACTCGCTCAAATCCTAACACCCGCCCATTTTACCTGCTACTAACACATCGACCACGAGGAGACGATGTTCATTTATTCCCTAATGTATCACGACCAACAACACGTGCCATGATGAAGATGTAATCAGTTTTATTCACTTTACCTGCTAGTGGTCATAATGGTATCCTTGATCAGTGTATTTACTAGTTAATACAACAATTGGTTAATCTTACCTTTCAGAAAAATGAAATGATATCTGTGTTGATTTGAGAGTTGATTGTAATGCTGCCAAGTTACTCTTTGGGGAACCAACAGTTTACAAACCAAAGATATAGGATGATATAAAAGAGCAACTAAGACTATAACCTATAAACAACTTTATATTTAACTTTCCTTTAAGTGCATTCTGAAAGTTGTCCATAAAGCATACTCCCCCTTTTGTAATATTTGAATATACACATATGTTTTGAGTATGACATGTCGCACATATTCACAGCTTTCTCTCGTGGCCATCTTTCTCAGGTCTGAGCCTCATCGTTCCTGAACAGGATGATCGACGTGCAAGCATGGGCAGAGTATGTGGTGGAGTGGGCTGCCAAAGACCCCTATGGTTTTCTCACAACTATCATACTGGCTCTCACCCCTCTCTTCATTGCCAGCGCTCTGCTGTCCTGGAAGCTGGCCAAGATGATCGAGGCACGTGACCGCGAACAGAAGAAGAAGCAGAAACGTCAGGAAAACATAGCCAAAGCCAAGAGGACCAAGAAAGACTGAGCTGGCGAGGGCTAGGATAGGGGCATTGCAAAGGACGAGCAAACCATCACGCTCGCAGGCCTCCTTTTCTAAACAATGACACGGTGCCCTTCCTTCTCCCAGACCTACTCTCAGCACAGGGCCACTATGCCTCATGTCCAGGGTAGGAGGAGGGACGCTGGCCCCACAGACTTAACAGTGCTGATGGACAGTACTGCCCTGAGGAAGCTTGTCTCAGTGGGACTTTGGTCAGCAACAGCACAGTAGTCATCTGTATAACGTTTTTATACAGTGACCTGCTGTTATATCGTGCAGCTGTTGCAACACCTTGCATTCCATTGTTGGCATCCCCGTTTTGCTGAAATGATGACATAATGAGAATAATGGAACTTTTTAAGCTTGATAACTTGCAAGCTATCCAAATGATTACTTTATGATCAATAAAATTTTCATGGTTGGTAAGAAAGCTTCCTTTTTTTGGATTTAATATTATATTATGCTGTGTACTTATTTACCCATAAACACTGAATCAGAGGGCTGGTAATAAAATACACTACCACAAATTCAAAAAAGTAGGCTCGCAATGTTCAGTAAGGTGACAGCAAGTGCATTTAAGGGTAATACTCCTGTATGTGCAAGGTCTTATTGTTGATTATGGAGTTCTAAAATATAAAAGCATCAAACAAATCAGCATGATCTGCGGTACAGGAAGGTGAAAAGTAATATTTAACAGGTGTGCCTTTATTAAATATCAATTTAAAAATAGTAAACCAGGATTACATATTAAACAACTCGTGTTTCATGTACTGTATGCTTTTAATTTGGATGCAGACCTTTGCTCATTTTATTAGATATTTTTTATTTTTGTTTATAAGTAGAAAGTGAACCTTCGCTTTGATTCAGTGTTGTAAAATAAAACATTCAAAAGTCCACAGGGGTTGGTATTTTTATGGATGGCGACTGGCTTTGAGTACTCGTGAGCCTATAAAGAGGCAGTCAAAGCAGTTTAGTGTAACTGTTTTCTGTTTCTTAGTTTTACTTCCCTGCGTTCAGAGAACTGATGTCTCATGACTGCTTTTAGAATGACAGACATGAGAAGGAAGACTGTTTTAAGCTAACAGTCTTCCCCTCTCTCTCTCCCCAATTTCCTGTCCATCTCTACTTAGTATCCAATAAAAAGAGCAAAAGTATATCTTTGACCATTTCAGAGGATTTTTAAAAAATTTGGTAAGCCACTAACCACTAACTTTACAATGAATCATCCAAGCATTAAAAGACTCCTATAACTTTAGGGATGAACCACTGTTGTGTCTACACATAACAAAGAAAAAAAAACAATTTCAAATTGTACCTCTATGCACTTTATTACTAGCAGCCTGTCACAAAAATACATCATTACCATTTCTGTAGTAGAATCTATGAAAACTGCCAAAGACAACATGGTTTGTAGAGGTGTAAAATTGTATTTTTGCAACAACATGGTGACAAATAGGAATATTTTGGCATGCTGAGCAGTTTGCCCTTAAAGAATCTGGACAAAAGAAGAAGTGACAGCCTTAAACAAAACTATCTATCGAAGATGATTGGTATCTGAAAGTTATGTCCTTAAGAAATGGGGGAAAAAAATGCAGCAAAGATCTGACACAGATGCAAAAGTCTCATCATAAATGGTCTCAGTGGAAGGGTGGCTGTGAGGAATCTATGCTTAAAGAGAAACAGGAAGAAAAGGCTGAGTTATTCTACAAGAACTAGACTGAAAATTCAGTGATGAATGCAAATTTGACATTTTTGGGTTAAATCGTCATGAGCATTGTACAGAGGAGGTCAGGAGAGAGATACAACAGTGAACATCTACAGCCATCTGCAAAACACAGCACAGGCTCTGTCATGGTTTGGAGCTGCGTTTCAACCACTGATGTTGGAGATCTTAATAAAACTGATGGAATTACGAACATCAGATTATGATCCTCCATGCAATACCGTTGTTCAGCATGAAAATCATCCCAAATGCATTTCAAATGCAGTAAAAAATATACGTGCATAGAAAAAACACACAATGGAACACTATCAGTCATGGATTGGTCTCCCCAGAGCCCAAACCTCAATATTACTGAAGCAGGGTGGGATCATCGGGACAGAAAACAGAGCAAAAAGCAGCCAACATCCAAAGAAGAGCTTTAAATGTCCTTCAAGAAGTATTCCTGTAGAAATTACAAGGAAAACCTGCCTAAAAGAGTTCAGGCTGTTCTGAAGAATAAAGGCAGGAATACCAAATATCGACTTTTTTGCCAAGTTTACTGTATTTTTATAGGTTTGCACATTTCAGATAAATAGCTGCATCTATTTCCCAGTTTCCCAGCAAAATAAAGAAATCAGGAGTAGCTCAAGACTTTACACAGAACCGTGTCTGCCCAACATATACTGTCAACATAAGTGAGAGAAGAATGTCTTTAAATCCATAAGCTGCAACATTATTATTATTATTATTTGTGATCTTCAAATCAATATTCTGTAACAAAGAGACAACAGTTCATTTAATGTAACCACATTTAATAATTATACTTATTTCACTTTCCCTGAAAGATGTTTGTATTTGTCCTCAGTGCAATTTATTCATTTTGTTTAGTTTTTTATCATTCAGTCTTTCACCAGCATGAACTTAGTTTAATTCAACTTCAAGATAAGTGATGGATACTCTCATGTGTGTGTGTGTGTGTGTGTGTGTGTGTGTGTGTGTGTGT